ACTCTAGAATGAAATCAAATGTTGAGAACACACGTTGCTGTAATCAATAGAAATTAAACACACTAGGATCACGATTTCACATGCAATTATCACTTTAAACCCTAGTTTCACAATATGACAACACATTTCATTTGTTGACGAATAAATGTTCCTAAGTCTATCCAATACTCTCTCTCGAGATGTATCAAACCTATTTCTACATACCACCGGCCTATATTTCTATGATAAGTGCATATGTAAAAATGCATGTAGTTTTATGAACACTTAAAGATTCACGTAAAGCATAGTGGTATATTTCTATCTCCTATCGGACTCTACGATGATTTATATTATGTCGAATCTATTCCAATTCTCTCGAATGCAAAAATAAATTACCCAAACTCACACAATTACGAGCCCTTAATTGCGGAAACAATAATTGCATATAAATCATTCAAAATAATAGAAATATGTCTTAATGTCAAATTGCAAAACTAGAAAATTAAAGATCTAACTGCATGGTACATTGATCTCCTAGCACATGAGAATCTAGCCTAACATAGTTAAAATAACAAAATACATCAGGTTTTGAATAAAATGCATCACCGGGTTATGAAATATTGAAGAAATCTTGATACTGTTCGTGCCAATCTTCGTTCTTGCACTCAAAATCCTCTCCAAGAAGTGTTTTTCTACCTCCAATTACGTTCTCCTCTTTCTAGACGACTTTTGGTATTTATATCGCGTGAAAATTAGGTTACCAAAAGAGTTTCAATCGTATAAGAAAAGTAAAATTTTCGAGTCGGAAACCTACCATGCGACCGCATGGCTTTAATCCATGCAGACGCATGGTTATGCCATGCTGTCTCCAGAATTCCCTGCACTCGTTCGTGTGACCGCACGAGAGTTCTACCATGCGACTGCATGGCAGACTCTAACTTTTATTTTCTCTAATTTGGTCCATCTACTTGAATCTTTCACTTCTTGATATATTTTCTTCATTTTTTCCATTCCATCATCCCAAGATATCATCAATTAGCATTTGGCTCAATCAATTTCTTGATTTGTTCATCGGGTCAACTTTTGAATAATTGCACCTTGGTCCCTGAACTTTCACTTTGCGTCATTTTAGTCATTTTTCGCGTCTTTTCTCTTGAATTTCACCATGTTCATCGGTGTTCCCTACAATTCACAAATGTAACGAAATTAAATTACAATTCAATCATTTTGCTCGTAATTAAGTCATATTTGTGACCTAAATAAGTGTGCAAAAACATACTTATCACCGGCCATAGACGCAGACTACACCAATGGGGTTCCTTGACGAGCTGAACACCGCCACGACCTCGAGATCCAATTGAAACCTCCTTTTTTCATCACAGTATACAATGTGAATTTGCCCCGCTGGTCCGACAATCATATTGGTCGTCGTTGAAATAGGAGTTTGCAATGATAGCATCTGTGGCTCATCATCTCCGTTAAGAAACCTCATCATATTTGTAGTGCGAATTGAGTATATAGATACCTGGAGAAATCGAGAGAGGCAACAAGAGCGAAATCTCCATTTTAGAGAGAGATTTTTTTCAAATGCTAACCTAGAATCAAAGGAAAAATATGGAAAAGAGAAATAGCGTATAAGGCCAAGCCAAGAAAGAAAAAGGGGAATAAAAAGTAGCAAATAGTAATTGAGAGTGCACTTCACACTCTCCGTTCACGGAGTGCACTCCGTGTAGTGCTCCGTGTGCGCTCTCCGTGCATAGAGAGGTTGCTCGAATTTTTTTTCTTTTTTCTTTTCCTTTTTTCAAGAAATAAATAATTAATATTTCTATAATTATGGATAAGATAACTTTCTCTTTTTAATTTGTTTTGTTTTTATTATTATTTTTTTTTTGAAAATTGTTTTAAAATTTCTTGTTTTTTATATTATAAATAATTTTTTTCTTCAATTTAAAATTCTTTTTTTATTATAAAACGTAATTTTCTCAATTTTAATTAAAATTTTTAATTATTTCAATTTAATTAAAAATTTTAGAATAATTTTTTTGTTTCTTTTTTATTTTTCTGTGATTTTTTTGCTATTTAATTTGTTAAATAATTCAATTTCTTTTCTTTATCAGTTGGATTGGATGAGGTAAAGTAATATGTGAAAATGGAGAAATATTGCAGTGGAATTGGAGAAATATTGCAGTGAAATTGATGGTTGTAAGTAAAGTGTTGTGTGAAAATAGAGAAATGATTGAAGACAAACGACGCCATTTTTTATCCCATAATTAAAAAGAAAAGGAAAAGCTACAGTGAGATAAAATGGAAGAATGCATTGTTGCCTCTACAGTACCTCTAGATTTGCCCTTTTATATAGTAGGGATATGGATAATAATAGTAGGGACAGGGAAGAAACTCCACATTTCATTTTTATACAGTAGGGATACGTTTTAAACTAAAAGAATTTTAAATTGAAAAAAAATTTATAATACAAAGAAAAAAGAAATTTCAAAACAATTTTCAAAAAATATATAATAAAAATAAAATAAAATAAAATAAAGTTACGAAAATTAAATAAATAATATATAAATATTATTTAGTTAAAATTGAAAATTTAAGTTTTATTATCATAAGAAAAAAATCAAAAAGAATTTTAAATTGACAAAAAAATTTATCTTTAATGTGTTAAAAAAATAATTTAAATTCACGAAGGCAAAAGCCTTCATGCACGGAGGTGTGCATGGAGACATTTGTCTCTATGCACGGAGACTTTTGCCTCCGTGCACAGGGACTTCTTTGTGTCTCCATGCCCGAAGACTTTTGCCTTCGTGCACAGACTTCTCTGTGCATGGAGACATGTCTCCACGGAGGCAAAAGTCTCCGTGCACAGAGGTTTTTTTTTTCAATTTAAAATTCATTTCTCTTCAAAAAATTTACTTGTAACTTTTTACATTTTAAATTTTTTTTTCTTTTTTGTGTTGTTTAAATTATAATTTTTTTTCTCAATTTAAAATTCCTTTCTCTTCAAATTTTTACATTTTAGAAATATTTTTTGTCCTATTACTAGTATTTTTATTTTTTAATAATTCCAACCAATTGGAGTTATGGAAAGTTGCGTGTTAGAGTAAATTTAGATTGCCTCTTTTACTGTATAATAAAATATATATATCAAGAAAAGAAAAGAAAAACGACGTCATTTTTACCCCCCACTTTAAAAAAAAGAGAAAAAAATGCTACAGTGAGATAAAATGGAACAAGTTACTGTTGATTTTTATAGTAACTTCACATTCTCCTTTTTATATATTAGGGACAAAAGAGTATTTTTGGCATAAAAGTGCATTTTGTTGCAGTATTCACTGTACTGATGGATTCTACTGACATATCAAAAGGTAAAAAAATGGATTAAAAGATGGTAGAAATGGGGCCAATCGAGGGTTAAATAAATGTCATTTAGGATGATTATGGTAGTCGCTTACAATGAATATAATTATTTATATAATTAAGAATTTCAATTTTGTCGTCATCAAAGAACTAATAATGGACTCAGTTTTCAAATATTTTGGCATATCTTCTTACACCCATTAAGGATGGTAAAATAGGTGTTAGACTCAAGAAATCGAGCCTCGCATGAAACCTAAAACTTTGATCGAATGGAGCATTAATGACGGTATCCAACATCAACAATTTAAGAGCCTGTATGAGCCCCATTTTTATGCAATAATACATTTTGAAACAGTAGACTGGTGATGATTGTGTAGTTAAAAAATAAGAAAAAAGTTATGAATTTGTGTATAATATTAGTGTTTTGGAGGATATGTGGTTGAAAAGAAAAAAGAAAAAAATGTAATTTGAAAATAATGAGAATCAACACGAGCTAAAAGTGGGATATCGAAAATTTCTTTGAGAGAAAATATTGGCCCTCAAACTTGGAGGGTTATTTTCCCATTTTCACCTTCTTCTTTTTCTTCCCACTTTGGCTTGTAATCAAAATAGTTGTTCTAAGAGCATCTCCTATGATGGTGTAAAATTGAATGTAAAATAATATCTTCAAAACTACTTTTGCACTCTTGTTTACATCCATGTGAATCTAAAATTTAATTTTACTAAACAAAAAGATTTAAATCCACTCTACCCCTTGTTGATATAAAAAAAGTTGTAAATTAACATACTTTTTTTTTTCCACATTTTATGTCAAAAATGCAGTTTACATTTCCTTTGCATATCTCAATTTAAGATGTTTTTTACCACTTTAGAAACTTAAATCAAAATTTAAAATTTATTTTATACCATGATTAGAGATGCTTGAAGGAAATTTATTTACAGAAGTTAAAAGCCGTTGTTGACATGTATGTTAGGTGATGTGTAAATTTTTTATTGGTCGTACGGTAGAGTGGACAACAAATCTAGTGTTATATATCTACTACATACCATTTTTGAAATTGACTAAGGGGGTGTTTGGTATTGATTTTTCACCCCAAAATATCAATTTTTTTTACCATTATTTCACTATTTAAATTGTCATTTTTTACTATTTCTCTCATAGATGCGACCCACTTTTCTATTCAACAGTTAAAAAATCAATTCTCAAAATTATTACCAAACAAGCTCTAAATTTCCCCTTCCATTAAAACAAAAAGTCTTTATGTACTTTCATAAATTTGAATAGTGAGTTTTTCTTAAGAATGTGCACTTAAAAAGTAAGATTTTTTTTTTAATTTACGTGTAAAATTATTTTATTTAAAAAATATGTCATAGAAAATAAAATTTTTAAAAATGATGCTCAAACAAGAACTAAAAAAGTCGATTAATAGTTTATAAGTTACAATCAATAAAAAGTAAAATTTGACTTTAAGTGTAAAATTTATTGATTAAATTTGTGATTAAAAGTGAGTTTTTAAAAAATCAGGCTTATGGTTAAAAAAGTCAATTAATAGCTTAAAAGTTACAATAAGAAATCCTCAACACCTGCTAATACGTCAATTCTAGGACAAAGTTCTCAGACCGTTACTTTATTATTTACGACCAGACCTCCATTGAATTTCCTCTTTCTTTATTTATACTCACACTCGCACGCTTGACTCTTATTCTGCACCTTCCCCCCTTCCTTCTTCTCTCTAATTTCAGAATAGGGTTTTAAAAATAATCTGTGTTTACATAAACTCATCCAAAGTAGAAAACTCAAAAATCTATCTTCTTGAGGTAGGCTCCAGCTCACAGAAGAGGGCAAAACCCTAGCATATTTTCACTCAATTATGGTGGGGCCAGACAGTTTGCTCAGGCATCCTAGCTTTCTTGGCTGAAATCTCGGAAGAAATGCACCAATTTTCACCGAAATAGGTAAGCTAATAATGCTTATGTCAAGACCCACTTTGTATTCCCTCAAGTCTTGCAAATTTTTGGTTTACTTATCTTTGAACAAATGGGGAATTGGATTGACTTTACTTCATTATACGAGTTCTTTTTTGGCTCACGGTTTGATTCTTCTAATTAACTAATTATTGAGCATGTCAATTTTAGGTTTTTCGGGTGATCTTTGTACTATTTCTAGTCGAGAGAGAAAACGGGAGGAAATGGAAGGAAAGGAGCACGGGTTGATGCTGGCATGTGTAATTTCGGGGACCCTTTTCTCGGTTCTGGGTTCTGCATCTTTTGTTATACTGTGGCTGGTGAACTGGAGGCCATGGCGGATTTATAGGTGATGATTTTCCAATCTGGTTATCTCTAATCATTTTCTGATTATCTTTTTAGATCACAATAATTGGGTTAAATGGAGACTTGTTTATTATGATGTGAAAATTATAATAAATGCATCTTGTTATAATATTCTCCAATATTGCTTACCAAACAAGATTATTAAATGACATAATGTCGTATTGAAGGACCTTAAATAACCCCATGTTGTACTTGCTTGAATATACTGTGTGGTGAATGCAAAAATTGCCACCGCATGAAATGACCTGCACGGGATGGGATGAAGGAGACTTCTAATTTAATGCGGCTGTGATATGAGATGAGAGTGATATAAAGCATTTGATCTGAATGTTGTTGAAATGGTTATTAAGATTATGAAGTATCTCTCGAGTGTAAATCACAGTAGAAACCAGTCAAGATGAAGCAGGGGAGAATGAGAAATTTAAGGAAATTGTCGGTTGCTGTTAAGCATCGTTCATTAAGTGATTCAAAGGGAGAAATGGTTGAATAATTTATGTTAATATTAAAATCATACATGTCTATATTATGGTTCCCATCATTTGATTCCTTTACGATGTCTGATCACAATAATGGCAAGAACATTCTCTATTTGCGAAGAGAAGTGCCAAAATTAGTTTGTCTGACAAATGATTTTCAGCATTATTTTTTCTTTTTTGTTAATAATTTTGTGGCTTTTGATGGTATTTCTTCTGCGTACATGTTTGTTACTAATGCTAGGCTTACTAAAAAAAGGAAAATATGGAAATTGAGGAGCAAATCGGCGGGAAGTTTATTTCAAACAGAAGGGGTGGAGGACATGCTTTATTAATTCTAGAAACATATCTGGAAAGGATATATGAGGTTTCTTTATCTATTTTAAGTGTTTGTTTCCTCATTTCCCCAAGTGGGATGAACGAACATTCACTAATTTTTTACCTCACTAGTTTTGCTCCTCTCTATATTTCACAATTCAACTTCTCAAGCGACAGGCATGCCTAAGTAAAAAGCCACCAAAGGGCAATAATGCACAATATAGTTTTGTTACTAAAAGAGCTTTTTTTTATTGGGTAGGTGGTGGTTGTTGGGGTTTCTAATTGGTAGCTTATCAATAAGTTGCCAGGTTGATATGCATGACATAATAGCTGTTCTGGAAGTAGTTTACAAGTTGTAGCTTGTGAGGTCGCTATTTCTTGAAATAACTAGCAAACAAGTGCTAGCTGCGTTTAAACCATGGTTTTACTATTTAATGTCTGCTCTTGATCCTCCATTAGTAATTTCTTGAATTGTTGTAAAAAATGCCATTTATTGAGAAATAACCATTTGTTAAGGTATATCACGTCGGATATTAAATACACCTCAATATTTGAGCAATTTATGCAGAGAAAGTGTGTGACTGGGTACCCTCAAGTTCTCCTTGTCTTTTGGCGATCAACACATAGTCTACAATATGCCAATCGTGCCAAAGGAATAACCACTTTATCGTGTTTTCCTCTGATTACTTAGTTCAAACAATCTGAATCAATTGATTATTTGACATGAAAGTTTGGATTTAAATCAGTGATTCAAGAGCACAGAATCTTGAAACTTACAACCCGAATGGTACGGATTAAAATCTGATTTGAATCTAAATCAAGGTGAAACAATCAATATTAACCATATATTTAATGGGCTCCACAACTTTTCAATCATACATTTCAAAAACTTCTATCACAATTTGCTAAAAAATCTAATTTTAATCCCCACCAAACACCCTTTTAATCCTAATTCTAGTGTATGACTTTTTACACGAATCTTTCTTCTTGTAACGATTTTTATTTTTTATAGTGTATGATTTTTTACACGAATCTTTCTTCTTGTAACGATTTTTATTTTTTATTTATAATCTTTGACCTACAAAAAGACATAAGCCTTATAATGGTGGTGCTTTTGAGAGTGAGTTGGAAATTGAATACAAGTGAAGTTAGGTTATTCCATAATTTATAAATACTAGTGAATTTCCACATAAATCTTATGTGTGCTATTGTCTATATTCTTTATTTTTCCTCTATTTTCTGCAATATTGTCAATGGACAACATACTCGTCCATGCAATTACAAATATGTGTGTGTGTGTAGCCCTGCTATTTATTCTAACTGAAATAAAAAAAGAGAGGAAAAAAGTAAAATATGCAACTGGTTGCCCTAGGAACCTAAGAAGCACGGATATGGATACGTAATTCGGATACGATTTTTTTGAAAAAATTTGTATACGTTGGTACTTGTTATAAGATTCAACATAATTTATTAATATTAAAAAAAAATTAGCACAAAAGCGTGATGATAAAAAAATAAAATAAAATATCAAAGCACTTTATCATAATCATTAATTGTCGAATCTTCATTTTCTTTAATATCATCAATATCAATTTCTTCATTATTTTTGGAAATAACACTCTCTAACTCAGGCTCATTCAATGATGATTTGCACTTTATCTTAATCAACATAATTTATTAATATAAAAAGAATTAGCACAAAAGCATGATGATAAAAAAAAAAAAATAAAGCACTTTATCTTAATCATTAATTGTTGAAACTTCATTTTCTTCAATATCATCAATATCAATTTCTTCATTATCATTAAAAATAACACACTCTAACTTAGGCTCATTCAATGATAGATTAGTAACTGCAAGTAATCCAACACCTTTAAGAGTATCAAATGAGCTTTCGGCAATGTTTCACATTTTGGATTTTCCTTTTGAATAGAGATCTAATTTTTTCAATAAAAGACGTAATTGCTACGAATGAAAATCAAGTTTTTTGCTTGTTGTGGAGTTATATTATTCCTTCTCGTAGAATGCACAAAAAGTATGTACTCTAATTTCTTTCCGCACTAGATGAAAAAGAAGGTTGCACAAGAATTTTCAAAGTAATGTTTTGTTTTAAAGGTGCACGGGAAACGTGAAATATTGGATACGTATCGAAAATTATGCAAAAACAAAAAATAATTAAAAAATACGTATCAATTACGTATCGAAAATTTTAAAAATATATAAAATAATTAAATAACAGTATCCGGTACATATCGAATGGTATCGGAGAGTATCGAAACTTGGATACGTAATAAGTTTACAAGTATAGGTGCTTAGCTAGGAACTCATTATAATTCGTCTTTGTTTATTTAAAGAGAAGTTGTGTTTTCACTTCTCATTCATCTTTTCCTCATCATGTAGCTTTTTTCATTATCACTTTCTTTTTATTGTTATTGTCATTTTGTTGTAGAAAGAGAAATATAAGCCCTGTTTGGGTTTGGCTTCCATTTCTTAAAACTCATTTTTAATCACACATTTCATGGGACCCACAACATTAACTTTTCAACCATAAATTTAACTAACTTATATCAAAATGTACTAAAAATTTAATTTTTATTCAACCCAAACAGCTGAAATGCTCAGTACTATTATTTTGAAAATAATAAATAATAGTCTTTTTACTTGGCACATCCTGGGTTCCAATTTAGGCTTGTGATTAATAAAAATTGCTGGGCAATGGTAATAATTTAATTGATTTACGGTTATTCGAAATCTCCTTTGTATATTCGTAGCCCTTAGGAGTAGAAAGAGTTAGAATATAATCTTCCTTCTTTGAATGACTCTGTAGCACGGACACTTCAATTAGGATAAGGTGTCCGTGTCCGACACATGTTGATACTGACACTCTTTGGACACTATCATAAACATTTTTCATTTTTTATTAAAAATATTATTTATTTTTTACTCAAGATTATTAGCAAATAACAAATAGGCACTAATATTTAAAAGAATTAAACAAAAAAAATTAATAACATGTGTAAAATAAAATTTATACTATATAAATAGAGAATTTTACAGAATTTAATTAACGTGTCATGTCGGTACTTTTTTAAAAAATCTTGTGTCGACGTATCTGACGTGTATCGTGTCGGATACTTGTGTCCGTGTTGGTGCATCATAGCTAAATGATATTTCCTCTGTTTTCTGCATTGACTTCAAGGATCTTTTGACATAAAGTGACTGAAAATTATTTACTTCGAGCTTCCTACAATATTACTTCATGTAATTGGATGTTTTAAGGTTATCCATGCATAGCTGGCTATATTTTTTCATCATGCATTAATTGATTGATTATGAGAATTCCTTTCTGTTCAGGATGGTCTATTTCGCAGTATGTTCATCAAAACACTTTTATCTTGTATTCTGACTGAATATTTTATTATTTTTATTTTTTACCTTTTCAGTTGGATCTTTGCTAGAAAATGGCCAGAATTTTTACAAGGACCACAGTTGGGAATGTTATGTGGTTTTCTCTCTCTCTGTGCTTGGATGATTGTAATTTCACCAGTGGCGGTACTTATCTTTTGGGGAAGTTGGTTGATTTTGATATTAGGTCAAGACATAATTGGTCTAGCTGTCATAATGGCTGGAGTTGCTCTTGTTTTGGCATTCTATTCGATTATGCTTTGGTGGAGAACACAATGGCAAAGCTCAAGTATGTATTACCTTTTATTAGTTACCCTCAAGCTTTTGTTAGTGGGGCTTGGCTCCACCTATATTTCCTTCAGCTCACTGTCCAATGTCCAGTTTTTCTATATAAAATTGATGTGGAACCTATTTGAATATGATTGGTCCCTTATTAATTGACGTGGTGGAAGAATATAACAGAGACCTTTCTTGGGAAGCTAAGAGTGTTGACTTTTAATTTCCCAGGTTCCATTGGCCTAACAGGACAAGTACCTCATGTGCGATCTCTCCTGTCACTATTTCTGATGTTTAACCTTTTTCAAATTCCATTTCTTGAAATGCTTCCCAACTCATCCAAAAATTATTTTTTCTATTACTTTTGTAAACTTCTGCATTTTTTGCAACCTTTTTACATATGATATCATCTCTTAATTGGACGAGGATGTGATTTTGAATGGACATAAATGTAACGTGTAATTTATTGCCTTGAATATTCAGTTAAAACTTTCAGGTCTTCCTAATTATTCTTTGTTAAATTCTGAGTGGTGTTTTCATATCTGGGTTATTTTATTATAGCTCAATTATTAATACGCTACTTTAAAATAGAGTAAACAGAAGTTGAATATGGATGAGTTCTTAGGTTGTAATAGTAAGTTTACTTAGCGAAGAGTTGTTTAATATTTGTTGGAATTGCAAGTTGCTTAATTATTTAGTTAGAGCCTGGCATTTTTCTTATGCTTTTTATGGACCTTTTCTATTCAATTTATATTCTCTCGTCATATTTACCTTGTGCAGGGGCTGTTGCTGTTCTACTTCTTCTGGCTGTTGGATTGCTTTGTGCATATGAACTTTGTGCTGTGTATGTTACAACTGGTGTAAAAGCATCAGAGCAATATTCACCTTCAGGATTTTTCTTTGGTGTGTCAGCAATTGCCCTGGCAATCAACATGCTTTTTATATGCAGGATGGTATTCAATGGTAAGCCATACAACTCTTTTCTTTGGGCATCAAAATGTTTCGTTTGAAATTCAGGAGATGGAAAAGTTCTAATGACACAATTCTTATCTTCAGTAACTTTGCTAGAAGACAAAAAGGTTACAAGAAGATAAAAAACGTGAACAGATTGTAGGGTAATGTTTGGTGAAACTTTGATTTAACTTTTTCCTCCAACGGAGGACAAAGAAACATTAGTAACTCTAATTTTCAAATTGCCTGGACAAGGATTGTAAGGGGAAAAGAGTAGATAGTCATGTTGTCTAATGCACCAGAATCAATGATCCATAGTACTTGATTCTAGGTTGAAGTGCTTAAAGGTTGTTAAGGGAATAGCTTTGTGCTAAAAAACACAAGGGAGAAGAGACTTGAGAGGTTTGGACCAATAACTTATAGAGGTGCTCTCACTGTTCCTCGTTGAAAGAAGGAGGTTTCAACTTGCATAACACTGGACGTCTCTCAAAAGAATTCCTCTCAAAGAAGGAAAAAAGGACTACTGATTTTATTTCATAATAGCTGGGATTTATTATTGTTGTTGTTGTTACATTATTTTTAATTTTAACATCAACTCTAGGGGAGAATTGATAGATTTATATGGGGTGCCACTGATTCCATTAGGAACCATGCTCAGATACCACGTGGAAATTCAGAGAACAAATTTCTGTAATTCTCATTCATAATTCTATGAACTAGTTAGTAGTTACACAATCTACAAGATATAAAAATAAATTGTAAATAACTAATCTAGCCTTAAACTAGGAATTTACAAAATCATACAAATCAATCAAATTAAATCAAATGCAATCAAATCTGATTTTCTCACATTGTATTATTTCCATTTTGTTTATTGATTTATCTGTAATCTGTGTTTGAATTCCAATAGGCAGTGGCTTGGATGTGGATGAATACGTGCGAAGGGCATATAAATATGCTTACTCGGATTGTATTGAAGTGGGTCCGGTGGCTTTCTTAACAGAACCACCAGACCCCAACGAGTTATATCCTCGTCAATCTAGAAGGTGAATCCTATTTTAATTGCTCTTCTGTTATGATGTTCTGTTGAAGTTTCCTGTTTTTTGGTCATGAGACTTTTCTGGAAAATTTCTTCAGTATGCTACCACAATTGGTGCTTTTTCGCATTATGCCTTTATGAACTGAACATTTTGTATGCAGTTGCTTATATGGTACACCCATTTTTAAAATAGGCTCCTATATACATCAACGAAGTTTTTCTAGTTTACGGGGAGTTTTTCTAGGTTATGATTTCATAATGTATTTTCTTTTAGCCTCTATTATCTTTGCTATTGGTTTGATAGTTTTATCAATAAATTATCTCTGCAGGGCTTCACATCTTGGGCTTCTATATCTCGGTTCCATTGTTGTTCTGCTGGTATATTCCATCTTGTATGGCCTGACTGCAAAAGAGTCAAATTGGCTTGGAGCTATTACATCGTCTGCTGTTATTATTCTTGGTACGCCAACTACATATATGAGTTCTATTATAATGATATCTACGCATGCAGTTTTGTTCTATTTTTATTTTTATTTTTTTCCGTTAAATAATATTATTTCTTGATATATTCTGCCTCACCTCCTGATTTTTTTCTGCTAGACTGGAACATGGGTGCATGCTTATATGGGTATCAGCTTCTTAGAAATCGCGTCGCTGCACTTTTTGTTGCTGGCTTATCTCGGGTTTTCCTCATATGCTTTGGAGTTCATTACTGGTTTGTTTCAGTCTTCATGAGCGGATACTACAAATAAATCTATGATACTACATGGCCTCATGACTTCTGCTGCACCTCCTTTGTTTCAGGTTTATAGGACATTGTACCAGTTATGCAGTTGTAGCTTCTGTGCTACTAGGTGCTGCTGTTTCTCGTCATTTATCAATTACAAACCCATCAGCTGCCAGAAGAGATGCATTGCATGGTACAGTAATTCGCCTTAGAGAAGGATTTCGCAGAAAAGATCAAAATAGCTCATCTAGCTCGTCCGAAGGCTGTGGTTCAAGTGTAAAACGTAGTAGTAGTGCTGATGCCGGTCACCTTGGTACTGCTACAGCACCTTGCACCGGCGAGGTTACTAGCTGGAATAATGTTGAAGGGATTCACAGCGATAAGAGCATAGACGGTGGACGACCAAGTTTAGCATTACGTAGCAGTTCCTGTCGTTCAGTAGTTCAAGAAACTGAAGTTGGGCCTTCATATACTGATAAGAATTTTGACCATAATAGCTCTTTGGTAGTTTGTTCTAGTAGTGGTATGGAAAGCCAAGGCGGCGAGTCTTGTGCGTCAACCTCTCTAAATCAAGCAATGGACTTGAATTTAGCACTTGCATTCCAGGAGAAGTTGACCGATCCACAGATTACGTCTATGTTGAAAAGGAGATCAAGACGAGGAGAGCTTGAGCTAACCAGTTTACTGCAGGATAAAGGTCTAGACCCTAATTTTGCTGTGATGCTGAAGGAGAATGGATTGGATCCAAGGATCCTCGCGCTACTGCAGAGAAGTAGTTTGGATGCTGATAGAGATCACCGTGACAATGCTAATGCAGACATCATCGACTCGAACAGAGTTGACAATGTGATGCCTAATCAGATTTCATTTTCAGAAGAACTTAGGCTACGTGGATTGGAGAAGTGGCTTCGACTGTGTAGACTAATGTTGCATCATATAGCAGGTACCCCAGAACGTGCATGGGTTCTCTTCAGTTTTGTCTTTAGCATTGAGACCACCATTGTAGCCATTTTTCGCCCGGAGGCGATACACCTCATAGATGTCACACACCAACAGGTACTGTTGGCATTCTTACCTGATAGATTATGGATCGGTGCATTGAAGTTAAGAACCTTTTTCAACTGCTTAATTGGTTCTTTGTTCATTACTTGATTTGTAGTTTGAATTTGGCATCGCGGTGCTGCTTTTATCTCCTGTTGTCTGTTCAATCATGGCTTTCCTTAGGTCTCTTCAATCTGAAGAATTGTCCATGACTTCAAAACCAAGAAAGGTATTTTTGACTCTGTTAGATAGAAATTTAATCAATTAACAAATCTGAATGAGTTTCAGGTTAAAGCACTGGTTTTGGTTGTCACTGGATGGTGCAAAAGCATTAACATTTGCCGCAGTTTGAATTTTTCAATGTGCCTGAAATGTTCAGTTTAAAGTTATTATTTTCCTGTTAAAGAGCTTGATATTGATTTATTATCACATGACATGCTGCCATATGCTTTCTTTAATGTCTTCTCATACTTTAGAAACCCTCTAATAACTCAAACTAAAGATTTTCTTTTTTCGTGTGTGGATATAAATTTATATAGCTTAACCTCCTATAATTTGAAGTGTTGGTATGATGTTATACAGAGTTTTGATTTTTGATTCAATTCTAACACAGCAAATTATCTTTGCAAATGATTGCGCTGGTTTGTGATACCTTAATATGTTGCCATTTTATCCTTGTAGCTTCTCTAATACTCATAAGGGAAAATTACAGCAGCGGTCCCAAACCTTTTTAATATTTGCAAACTTTACCCTAACCTTCATTTTGTGCCAGCGAAGGTCTCAAACCTTTCATAAATATGCAGCTGAAGTCCAGATGGATGGAATCCATCCATTTCACCGTTAGTTGACCAAAGAACTGACTTTGACTCCAATTTTGATTATTTTAGTAAGGGCAAAATAGTAACTTGCATATTATCCTATTAATTAGATAAGTTAAATAGATAAACCATAAATAAAAAAAAAATGAAAGAAAATGTGGGCATCATCTTCTTCTCTGCTTTCTTTAATGTCTTCTCATACTTTAGAAACCCTCTAATAACTCAAACTAAAGATTTTCTTTTTTCGTGTGTGGATATAAATTTATATAGCTTAACCACCTATAATTTGAAGTGTTGGTATGATGTTATACAGAGTTTTGATTTTTGATTCAATTCTAACACAGCAAATTATCTTTGCAAATGATTGCGCTGGTTTGTGATACCTTAATATGTTGCCATTTTATCCTTGTAGCTTCTCTAATATTCATAAGGGAAAATTACAGTAGCGGTCCCAAACCTTTTTAATATTTGCAAACTTTACCCTAACCTTCATTTTGTGCCAGTGAAGGTCTCAAACCTTTCATAAATATGCAGTTGAAGTCCAGATGGATGGAATCCATCCATTTCACCGTTAGTTGACCAAAGAACTGACTTTCACTCCAATTTTGATTATTTTAGTAAGGGCAAAATAGTAACTTGCATATTATCCCATTAATTAAATAAGTTAAATAGATAAACCATAAATAAAAAAAAAAAAAATGAAAGAAAATGTGGGCATCATCTTCTTCTCCCCCC